AAAGTAACATTTTGTAAATCTTTTTGTGGCATCACGAAACTATACATCAGAAAAACACAACTCCCATTTCCTACCAAGAGGGTGTGGAATTGGGGCAGACATCAATTTAACTCTGAGCCCGAATACGATAACCGTTTAAACCTACAACACCCAGGTGACGAAGTGGTCTGGACAAAGATCACAAATTTTGAAAACATGTCAGATGTGTAAATTTTAGCAGATTTTCGACGGGTAAAAAGAATATAATATTTATTTTGACGTATTACCGTAGCCAGCTAAGGTACCAAGCTACCGAACGTAAATTTGTTCCCTGGCCTGCCCTACCTTAGCTGGCTACGGTAATATGACACTGGTTTCACCCCTCGGTTTGAAGCGGTTAAGTGGGGATTGGGGAAGCCCACTTTATTATGTCCCTGGTCTGTTAAACAGTCTGTAGAATCTTATTATTGGTTAAATGACTCAACCTGAGCCTTTTATATCAATTTGCAGTCAAACTGCGAATACGCTACATATGTAAACATATATTCATGATTGTAGCAGAGTTGAGTCGGTTATCCAAATTTTGGATAAAGTATCCATCCGAACCGAATCCGAATTTTTTCAACCGAAAAATTCGGATTCGGTTCGAATGGATCCGAAAAACTGGCCAGCCGACTCAACTCTGGATTATAGGCATGTTTTTCAACAAACTATCAAACATATGCTTATAGGAACAATCAAATATTTTTGCGTTAAATGGGTGCTATACTTTTTATGTCAACACCAATTTTGCTAATTTGCCATATGTAAAGTTTTTTGTTAAAGTGTTGAGTATAATAATTACATTATAGCAACACTATAAAAAGGAAAGAATTAGTGTGACGTTTACCGACGCACAGAATACAGACTTGCAACTTTTTAGACAAATCTGCTACGACCATGCCATGTTTATTGCTGTTCGTCCTATCTCCGTACCTGTTGTTTGTATATTTTCTTTTCCTATTCATTCCTGTTTTTATCAACATTTATCATTTTACGTATGAACGACTGATGTTTTCCTCCACACACTGTACTATTCTATGCAAAAATATGATGATAAAATATCCCGTTATGTTATTTCAACTCGACAAAATTCATGCATGCACAAGTCCAAATGATAACAATTCACATAAATCCACTTTGTCACTTTGCAATGTGTTATTGTTCAGTGGATAGGTTTGGGTGGTTGTATTTTTTGATGATGATGACTAAGGAGGAGAGTACGCCAACCTGATAATGACAGATCTTGATGTCCTTTGGATATATGGTAGTACCCCCTCTGAAAGCAAAAAGTGTGAAGCGGTTTGATGCCATGGCCCAATTTACGCCCGTCACACCCATTTGAAGGCGCGCCCGATGCCAAACTAGCTGCACTAAAAAATTCGCCAAAAATCCAATTTTGTTCGGATTTTCATAATAGTTACATATTTATGATCCCACATAGTTGCTTTATCATATCAGATATCAATCTGAATTTTTTTGGAATTTTGAATTTTTTCAAGCCATGCCCTTTTCAGGAAATATTCGAAAATATTGAAAATTTCTGAAAAGTTAATTTTGCAACTGAATATGATAAAGGGACTATCTGGGATCACAAATACATAATTATTATGAAAATCCGAACAAAATTGGATTTTTGGCGAATTTTTTAGTGCAGCTAGTTTGGCATCGGGCGCGCCTTCAAAGGGGTGTGACGGGCGTAAATTGGGCCATGGCATCAAACCGCTTCACACTTTTTGCTTTCAGAGGGGGTACTACCATATATCCAAAGGACATCAAGATCTGTCATTATCAGGTTGGCGTACTCTCCTCCTAAGTACCCAGTAAGCTAAAAGCAATTATCCTTTGTAGTAGAAGTTGGAATAATTTTTACTCTTGTCATCTGGTTTAGGTGTTTATTAGTATTTCTATTTTATTCTGCTACTTTAATCTAATTTAGACACATATTTACCCACGTTGGCACATATTGTGATATATGTAAAATATAAACATCGTAAATATATAGTAGGTGCGTGACATTGGTAATTCTGCGTTCAAATAATTTTTTGATGTGTATGTTGGCGGAATTGATTTGGAAAAGGTATTTTATGTTTGTGCCACTTTGTCATCTTGAAATTTATTTAGGTGATACTGCCGACATCATCGTGCATCGTGCGCCATTTATCAAAATCATTTTTATCTCCTCTCACAACTCACTCATCCTCAGTTCAAACCCATCACACATTTTCTTCAATATTATAGAGGACAACTGGCACCCTTAATGACCATGATGGCATTCTTTTTCGTTTACGTTTCGTTTATTATATCAAGAATTCGGTTTGGACTTTAGCCATGATAAGTGTCCAATATTATAATATATGCATTAATGTAAGCAACGTTTGATAACAGCAATAAGCATGGAATATATGCCTTTTTATAAGCTTTTCCAGATAAGCAAACAGATTATAAGCTAATAGAAGCACTCGTAGTGCAGCACAGCTACATATAAGTATATTTAGATATTATCGTAGTGATTTTATTAAGTCATTTTGTTCATTCACGGCATAAAAAGAAAATATATGTAGGCAGGATGTATTGTAGATTACTTTTTCATTTTGACACTTGACATTATTTGCTCTCTTCTCATCTTCTTATAACAATGGCTGGTAATAAGATAATTGCGCATTTTCCTTTCATAACAATGCAAAGTACAATCAAATCAAAAACGTTGGTTCTTGGAATTGTTGAACCAAAAGTTTCATTTTTCGTTATACAAAATCGGAATTCTACATTGTGCTCAAACAATTATTGACGACTTTTTTTTAATGGAATAAAGTTATATGCATAAATTTAGGATGTAACAATGTTAATCAAATTTATTTGAAACACAATGCGAATTCAATTTCAGAGTTTATTTCATTTATAATTCTTTTATTTGAAAAGAGAAGTGCATTTCGCTTATCATTATAAATCCACAAAAAAGAAGTGCGTACATAATTAGTTGCCAGATTGTGAAAATTGCAATGTCAGGAAAAAAAGTACGCTTGCACTTCCATTATACTGTACAAACTGTGTTAATGAAACACGAATAAAAAGTGTTTCCCTCGAGCATATATGCATATGTACATATGGATGTATGTACATTGTAAATAATAATTGTAATACTACTCATGTATGTATGAAGAAGATGATGTGGAAAGTAGTAGTCGTGATACAAAACCAGGTTTTGGTTTGGTTCCCCATTAACAACAATTGACATTTTTGTGAAATACTTTTAAAATTAAAATAAATAGTTTTCCGTTTTCTCAACGGCTGATTGTTACTGCTCATATAGCTCGGTGAGAAAGCACTGTAATCAAAGTAAAAATTGCAGCAAGTTTAGTATAACATAAAGTTTGAAACTTTTTGGTAAAATGGAAACACTCTGGGCATCAACGTTCCACTGGCCAGTGGGTAGTAAGGCTAGGTTGTATGCAAAAAGCATACATATATTATTATTTGTGGTGATTGAATTTGCAATCAGTTTTTGGGAAAATATTAAAGACTGGTAACTGCTTCAAAAAGTAGGAGTTTAACACTTGAAGAATCAACGCCGTAAACGTTATTTAAGTTCTGCCATGATTTATTACTCTGGTGCTATGTGTTATATACCTACCAGTGCTTTATTCCTACAACTACTTCCTCTCCTATTTCACGATTCCCACATAATGCTTAAGATTCGGTAAATTTACGATATTTTTACTGCTCTCTTGTTGTCGCAACAGTTATTCACTTAATGGCCCAGCAAATGGAATCTAATCCACTTAAAAAGTATCCAAATTCCCACATTTCTTCGTCTTATGAGAAACTAGTCATTACAAATGTGGCATCATTTTGGTGCATGCTTGCTTTCGTACATATGTTCAACTTATAAATATCTTATACATTTGTACCAATGGAAATCACATTCATTTCGGCACTTCAGATTAAATAAATTCTCTGAATTAATGCCTTGAATTAAATTTTTAGGATTTTGGGACTCGTGTGAATTTTAATATTGTGGCAATAGGTGAAACTTGGAAATTTTTAAATGTTTACACTTTGTTGGCTTTTAGCTTAGTTCCGGCTCATTTACCAGAAAAGAAGAATGCATACTATGTGTAAACACATACAATTTGCAAGAGCGATGAATATCCCTTCATCTCGTTGGTTATTTAATTGGCGTAACAGCGTGAAACAACAAATTGCATTTTGCCACTGTTGACCTAGTGTCTTTCCTGCCCTTGTTACTAGCGGTCTGAATTTGTGTTATAGTCTGTAAGTGTGAATTATGGATCATTAGGGCTTCATCTATCTAATTTTGTGTTGTCATTATTAAACCTGGCTTAATGTTGCCTGAATATTGCGAACTGTACGCATAACAGAGAATATAACGGATCATGTTTGGCACACCAGCGCACTTATTTGCCTTACAACATTTCAGTTTCGCATGCTTTATTGCTATTGAATATTATATAGCGATACTCACTTTAGGACGCATATTACTGAAGTTCAGTGTCTATTAGCGTAATTATCTTTACTCTTGCATTCAATTGTCTGGGTTTTTAAACAATAATCTCTATCATCAGTATATATGTACGTATGCAAAAGAGTATAAGGCTGTTGTATGTAAAATATTTACATATATACGTGAGCATATTTACTTACCGATATAAAATGGCCCTCTCAACGTATGCACATACTTTAAAGCAAAATGACCTGTGACCAACCTAACGAGAAAAAGGTTAAAAACCCATTTATGATGAAGCTCAGTGAGAAGCAAATTATAATTATGCGGTTTTCGCAAAAATCTCCCCATTCTATGTAATAAATGAAGATTTGGAACACTTATTTTGCCAAAAGTTTCGATAATGTGGTTAAAGATTTTGTAAATGAAAAATGAGTTCACGTCATATTGTAACCCAACAACTAAATTCGATGATCATTATAAACTAAATTCCCTATTTTTTATGTCATTTCTATAGGTATATCATCAACGTTAGCCCAAGTTCCACAGCAGGCGCAAGTACCAAACCATCATATTAATGCGAGAAGAGGAGTTCCATCAAACTTTTCATGCGAATCTCAAGGAACTCCAATCTCTTATTGCATATGGGAACGACCGGCTGATCCTACGAAAAACTTGTCCGTGATTTACTTGGAATTCTCAGGAGATACCCGACCTGGACAGCAGAGCAAGAAGCCGGGTTATTTTTTGACAGGAGATGGTTTGGATAAAGGACAATGTGGTTTGAAAATTAACCGAGTTGAGGACACTGACAATGGAGTGTGGCAATGCACTCTTCTAACCAGTTCAGGATCACAAAGAGGACAAGTCCACTTGAGTATTCTTCGTAAGTCCTATATGCACAAAATTAGTCCTTTAGTCAAAACTACGCCTTCTTTCAAATTGTGTTTAAATTGTTGTTTTTTTCTTTCGTTTCAGAGAAACCATCTGCACCGCAGTACGTCAATAACGTGGAGCCCATGTACGAAGACACCAAGACTATCCAACCTGAGAAAATTACTTGCTATAGCACTAATGGTGTTCCTCGACCAAAGTTCCAGTGGTTCATTGGTACTTATTCCTTCCTTCATAAAGATTCAATAAAATATACATGTAGGTTGATTATTAGTTGAGCGAAATTTAATTCAAACGGTTTTTTATTGCAGGAGATGAACAAATTACAAGCGATCTCAGTCCACTGAATGAAACAACTGCCGGCAACTCCCTCTACACATTCCAAGAACTTCGCAATCATCGATTCTCCTTTAAGGTTTCAAAATGTTTTATAATAATGTTGACATAACAATGCCTGGATTTACTAACCTGTATGTACAGGGTGGTTAAAATGTCACGCTACAATGGAAAATTTTTCGATGGGAAAAATCCATAAATTTCCATTAGTTACCGAAATTTTGTCTCTAAAATGCAACATTTTAAGAATTTTGTCATCAGTTTTGATAATAATTTATAAAAATCTCAATCCCAAATCTTGTAACTAATGGAGATTGAGGGACTTTTCCCATTGAAAAATTTTCCATTGTGGCGTGACATTTTAACCACCCTGCATTTAAATTTTAACTTTAAGGACCATGGAAAAAAGCTCCGCTGCGTCGTTGTTCATGAAGCGTTGAGTGACACTGATATGAAGGAAGTTTTAATGAACATTGAAGTCAGATGTTAGTTCATCGTCCTATTATTAGTATTATTAAGTATTACGATTCCGTTTACAAATTAGAAATTTACCAAGTGGTTTCTACTTGTTTTTAGATCGACCTCGATCTGTTCGGTCAGATGGCCGTGAAGTTGACCGTGGAATTGGAATTCAAGCTGATTTGGGCGAAGAAAAAGTTATTCTCTTAAATGTATCCTCCAACCCACCTCCCCGAGTAGTATGGGTCGTGGATGGCAAGCAGCTAGAACAAGGAACAAATACTGAACTTTTCGAAGCCATCCCGATGAGACACGTTGCTCCAAGCGTGTACGAAGTTGCACTTAAGATTAAATCCGTGGATGATGAAGTGTTGACCAAGAGGATTGAACTGAAAGTTTCCAACGATCTCGGAGTCGCGGATTATGTCATCAATATCAACTCATCGTCTTCCGGTTCGGGTAACAACCAACTACGACTAACACGCGTAGAATGCGCGTCATATTTTCTGATATTGCTTTTCACTAACAAAACGGCTGGTTGAGTCTTTGGGTATTTTGGTAGCCTTTTTTAATTTGTAGTTGAAATTTGTAAACGAGGGTTGTTATCAAAGTTCTCTCTCTCTCCCTATTTCAATGTAATTGAAAAGCTTCTAGATTGGACGACAGACAGACAATCGATTCATGTATTAATTTGTTACACTTGTACCAATTTTCTGATTTCTTTACAGATGGACTTAGCGCCGGAGGCATCCTTGGAATTGTTTTAGCTATCCTCGTCCTCATCATTCTCATCGCGGTCGGTGTAGTTTACACTAGAGCTAGAGGTCTGTTGTGTTTTAAAGGTGAGAGCCAAATGCCCGACTTTTTGTAAAGTTTTATTTAATTTGCCTCTATCCTCCTACCGTATACATATACTTATCTTTCAGTTGACTTATTTTCCACCGCATTTCATTTTTGAAACAAATTACAAACAAATTCCAGCCAACTAGATAACTATAAATGTTCGTAAATATTTAAACTTTCCAACAGTGGCCTTCCAAAAGGAAAGTACACTATTGTGTTTTTGTTTGTGTTTTTCGTGTTCAAGTTTTCTCTTTCAATGTGTGTTTATGCAACCTCCACTAACAATGTGTATGTAATTACTAATGCTACTAAGAAACTGCAAAAGAAAACACATGCCATTTATCATAAATGTTTGCATTTTGCAAAATTGCATTGTTGTATAATCCATTATGTACGTCTGTTTCAATTATTAGTCGTTCATAATATTTCATTCAAAAGTAAGTATTTGCGTTTGCGTTCCTTTTACTTTCGATCCTAGGGTTAAGGTGGATTAGGGGAGTTTATGTGAACTTCAGGTTAAATAAATCACTGCCATGCTAACTAATAACAGTCATGCTACTATCGCTGCCTTCACGTCAGTACTTAAAACTGAGAATAGTTAATTATTAGGTGTTAGCATATATAATGCTCATTCGTAAACAGTGTATATGTATTATAGCATAGGAGGTGCTGCAATATGCAGTGCTTATATTTATGACAATTTGTAGAATTACTTGATAGTAATTATTGCTATTATTATCGACCACATTTTTCGAAAGATTGAATTTGCCTGTCACTAAATGAGACTATTACAAAATTACGAATTTATTCTAGTTGTAAATATGTAGAGTTTGCTGGCATTAAAAAAAATAAGTCAATATCAGAATATGTCAAGGCTTGATATGCCTATATTTATAATGTGATAGCAGTTCTATCTATGGACTTGTCTAATTTGTATCATGAAAAGTTTAAGCATCTCAATCCAAGCAAACATAATCGAAAATCATATTTATTAATTCTGGTATGTATTTGCTTAAAAATTGCGACATACAACAATTTTGCAACTACTAGTAAATTCCACATCATTTTGGCTTCCATACCCCACACTGCTTTTATGCATATTGTTGCTTCATTTGTCTCATCTAGTTAAAATGCTATAATAATTAATAGACGTATTGTATTTTATATGCTGAAGCGTTGAACACTATCACGGTAGACGTATCCAGCGATACCAATTCCTATGTTTAGTCCATGTTTTTGTTAGTTTTTTTCAATTCAAGTATGTTTTTTTATACTAGAAACACTTCGTAGAACTCTTATTAGAAATAAGTAAATGTTCATCCAATTTTGCATGTTGACCAAAGATTGCCAGAGTTTGTTTATTCTACTTTAATTTAATTCATTTCTGTTTTCATTGTTTTGTAATTTTGAATCCCTGCACAATGTATTTCCTATAGCACGTTTTTTGAAAACTTCTCCCTTTGTTAATTACATACTTACATAGTCAAATAAACTTGACATATGTCGTTGTAACATGGGATCCCAGATATGTATGTTCGATAAATTCCCGACTTTGGTGTAAAGAAAGCAACCCAGATATGAGATACATCCATCGATGGGGGTCGTGGGCAGTAATGTTCAACTTTTAAATACAAATAAATAAAACCAAAGATAAAAAATATAATCAAATCAGTGACTTTTGCAGCTTACTTACAATATAGCAGATATTATGCAATGAATAGTTTTGAACACCAGAATTTGTAGCAACCTTTGGTCAAGATGCTTTAGATTCTAGATATGCTAATCTCAAAAAATGGTCAATTTGAGTCAATATGAATTTAAATTACTTTAGATTTGCGTGACTAACAATCCTCTTCTCGTGTCTGTCTTTTAAACTTCAAAATTTGTGTTTTAAGCAAAAGACTAGTTTTCTTCCAAGACGCAATCATTTACCAAAATAAAAATTAATTTTCAATATTTGTCAACAAATTTGCCAAGTCTTTCAATTAAAGATCAATGCCTTGTGTATGTAACAGAAGAAGCAAAATCCATTTAAAAAGTCACCGGTTTGATTTTATTTTTATGTCTGATGGTTTTATTTGAACAGAAAAAAGTGGCGACAATCACTCCACGGTGCAAATCGATGGGAAGAACTCTGAAGTTGGGGATTCGAGTGGTGCAGAAAATATGGGGAGTGGGGAAGGCGGCGGTTATCCCCCTCACTCACAGACACCCCCACTTGGCGCAAGCATGAAAGTCAACAATGGGGCCAATGCCCCACCCCCAGCTCCCACAATCCCACCCCCACCACTGGATGACGATCCTCCAGTCTACACAAATGGAAGTGGCAGACCTGTGAAAGATAGCCCCGTCTAAAATTTAAATTAATGAATCTCTTAAACTCAAGTGTTGAACAAAAATCTGGGATCTTGTTGTTGCAGCAGTTTCTAACCAACACAATGTTATTTATTAAATTGCTTTTAATCATCTGCCTATATTTTCCTGACTGCATTATATTATTGTTTTTTCACCAATCATATCATATCCCTCGAGATAATTAATTAGAAAGACATTCTCTTTTTATGTAAGTAGCTGAACAAAGCTGAATCCTATCTCTCGGCAGCCCTTTGTTTATATACACATGCATACTTAATTTGTATTTTTTATAATTTATTTTGTTACTGTAAGATTAAATTCTTTTGCTTATTTAATTTATTGTAGATTATTCACCAGTTGGTTGTTTATAGTGATAATGATACGATGAATGTAGTTGTGAATGCGGCTTAAAATTTCGACATAGCCTTAATATTTTTGACACTATTTGATAATTTTTTTTAGCATTAATGACATTCCAACTTCAAACTTGAAACATCTTTTAGCTATAACTAATTAAATAACATATTTATCCAGACAATATTGATTGGGTTTCGAGCTTGTCTGAATTTCATGATTAACACGGGATAATCGTCGGAACTATATAATACTACTTTTTGAATTTGTGTTAATTAGTATCCTATTTATTTGACTCAATCCAACCAGCTTTGTTTTCTTATTTTGTTTGACTGGACGATACGCTTTGATTCAGCAGTGTTCTGGAAAACGTTAAGGCACCTCTTAAAATGTTTCAGACTTCTTTAAAACTTTATTTATAATAAAAAAAACTAATCAGCCATGAATTGTTAAATCGTTACGTTAGTGTGATGTTGTAGTGATTGAATTTTTAGTTGTCTTAAATTCATGTATCACTCGAAATATACAATATTCCAGCTTTACAAGAGTATGTTGTGCCAATGGAATTAGCGGAATCCTGATCAGCTTATACCAATACATTTGAAATCATTAACAAGGAAAATTTTCTATTAAAACAAACATTTTGTTCATTTTCAAAATATACTTTATCTTAATGTTTATTTGTTGATAGCTGGGTAGTAATTTTTGGTGTATCTAATTTCATAGTTGATTGAATGGAATGTTAGCTGTAGTAAATACAGACTTTTGTAGTTGTAGTAAGTGCATATGTACAAGCAATGTCTTAAAGGCACGTGTTGTTGCTGCTTACTATTTTCTTGATTCCAGTAGCGGAAATTCGCTGTTGTAAAAAAAAGAATTTATAATCTCTGTACTTGATCTTAAGTGCTTTCTTATCAGTCTTAATCAATCAATCATATAGACTGTGTCCCGCCTACTTACTTATCATAAGAATGTCATGTCATATTAGCAGTGAAAGAAATTTGCGATAAAAATTGATTCCTACATATATATCATCCAGACGTCATAGGTTACATGTAAATATATATGGAATGATAGCTATAAATATTATCGAAACATCTTCAATTTTTGCCATTTCTTTACATTTCAGCCACTGTAGCTTACCACTAAGAGGAAAAAAAGAGACTGCGTCTCGTTGTATAAGTTTTCTATGCAAAACATACATATTTATTGTTGTTATTTATGCAGCTTCTATGATGTTGTATGTATGTAGGCTTAATTTATCACGTGAGAAACTTTTTTATTAGTTGTACAATGTGAAAAAATACAACTTTATACTTATTATTACAAGTAAACTGCCAGCATAGAACCTTTTATAATGCTGACCTATAATATAATGGTTAAGTACCTTGCTAGCTAAGCATATAAAACAGATAAAGATACACAATAATACATGTTAAAAAATACAAGTGGCTGCAAAAGGGTTAATAATATGTATTCTTTGTTAAGTTGGTTTTATGAAATGAGATTTAATTTAACTGGAAAAATAAAATAAATGTGCCCATAACAATCATCCATGTTTGTCATCTGTGGAGTCTTTTCAACTCTTTTCTAATGTGTGTACATTCTCTCCTGGCCATTTTCTCTTCTGCATTTCAACGTTCTCGTTGGAAAACATCTTTCGATGGAAATACGGTGGAAATCCTGTATATCTGAAGGTTATATAAAGTTTTTACTTGATTTTCTCTACTTTGCTTTCAGGAGATGATGGAACTGCGTCCGAGAAAGAAAGGTAGATTTTTAAACCAGCATGGCGTCTAAAATAGATTACCTTTATTGCATACAAGTGTAGTATAATTTCAATTGTATTCGTTTTTCATGAAAAGAGAGTGACTTGTTTTATCAGAATTGGTTGAGCGAAATAATTTACTTTGAATAATAACAGAATGGATGGTGATAGCACCGGTGTGGCAGCAACGGCAGAGGAGAAACCAGCAACTCAAGGATTTGGCGCACGGCTGAGTGCGCTATATGAAAACCTCGTGAAGAAGAAGGACAAAGGCGCGGCCGTTCCTGTAGATGAAGAGGCACCAAAGGTATGCAAAGTATCTCCATAATAATGTATTATACTACAACCTTTCGACATTGTTAGTAACGATGACTAATCCAATAAAGATTGATTCATTCATTGATTTATCAATAAGGATTGACTCATTTGTTTACAGGAGAAAGATTCTAAGGAGAAGGACGGCGAAGGCGGTGGAGACAGTAAGGATCCAGAAAAGAAGGGAGACGATATTGTCTATGCAGAATTAGATTTGGCTCGATCTGCTGCAGAGTCACAACGTCCCGAAGTTCGAGATGACAAAACTGAATACGCAGAAATAGTTGGAGTTGTCTCTAAAGACGACTCTGCAAAGAAAACGCCAGAGGCCAGTCCCAAAAAGTGAACTGTTTTTCGGCCATCAACTATCAACAAAATCTCAACCTGTCACAGAAAATCTCCAATCAACAAGTTGTGTGTAAAATTAGGAATGATTGACTTTAGAATCTCTGGATTGATATTACACTAAGAATAAGAGGCATAATAACTTGATTAGGACGCAAACAAGAATCTGAAATGGTGAAATTAATTTGCATAACTTTAAATTTAGATTTAATCACTTTAACAAATGAATAATTGTTCAAATGTCAACTTTATATTCTCATATGTTTATGTCAGAGCAACTTTTTCATGAAGTACTAATTGTTGGTTTTGTACATACATACATGTATGCACACAACATGCAAGATTTCATTTAAATTAAATGCAGATTCAAAATGTCCCAAGTCATGAATTAGTGCACAAATTGTTTTGTACAACTGTTGAGAATTTATTCGCGTGATGAAACTTTTAACAAATTGAAGTTTACCTTGATTTGAATACTTCAAATCAAAGAGTACTTCCGCTAATAGCTGTTATAATAATGACTGACTGCTGGCTTTATAATTATTATACATGTTTTACAAAAATGGACAGCCAGTAACTCATAGCATATATACATTTAGATATATAATATATAAGTACTATTGAAAATTTATACTTTTTATTTACCAATTGTATACACACTTTATAATCAGCTTGTTCAAATCTGAAATACCCAAATGTTCAAAGTTCAAACATGAGATTAGCAACGTATATACACACAGCACATTTTCAAATTTTGCATGTTATTCCAAATATTTACCTCTGATCTCTTTTTGCTATATATCAAAATTGTTCTTCCAAGGCACTGTAAAATACTATTAATTCCATTAATTGCCCAACAATGCATATACATATATTTATATATATATAGTGTGTTGAGAAGCTGTATTAGTAAAACATAAAAACTCGATATGTATATACATATCTACATGTGTGTACATGTGCACACGCACATTTAGAATTTTTCATTACTTGTATAATTAGAGTTTTTTTATTAAAGTGCAATTCGGTTTAAATTCTAGTTATTAAACCACTATTTGTTAATATGTGACTAGTATTCGTTTCATATTTATATATTTTTAAAATAGTCATTGGATATTTGGTTTACATAATTTAGTAACAATCTCATGTTGCTTCAATTTGTTAACTAATTAACAAGGTATTGCAAGATCTTAACTTCTTCCACGTAGTTGTGTAGTTTTAGGAAATTTAACTTTGTAATTAATATAATACAACGTACAGCTGTGAATAATTTTGCACTCATTTGTGTAAATTTATAGCAAAGTCGTTGTAAGTGACCCAGAGAACCCAGCAACAATTTTGGTAAACATGTGCGACATCCGTCCGGGGACTCAATATTCATGTTTCCAGACGTTTGTACATAGTAAACTACATACATATATTCATAGGCTTAATGTTCTTGTAAATTTTAACGGTTGATTAAGTTAATATTTCATGTAACCAACCAGTTCCGCGTTTCTGTTGATCAATTGCAGCTTGAATATGTATTTTTTAATAATCGTATATATGTATTTCTGTGGTATTGTGATCAACTTTAGATGAATGGCAAGGCAATTAGATCATTTACGACACAAATTTAACAGCTAAAGAGTAATAGCTTATTAAATTGAAATGATGATAGCTTTCGAGTTAAACTAACGTTATGCATGCCAGCGGTAATTGTTATATAATAATATACCAAGAAACATTAAGAAAATATTTTATTTATGTATGGCGACCAGGTCATGGATATTATTTGTGATTAATTCTGCTGTTAATATAAAGCGTTATTAACTATTAGTTAAAATGTCATATTAGCCATCAGAAGGAAAGTATTAATTAGTTTTAAATTGTTTACTCTGAATATTACTATATATTCATGTTATTCATCTGCTTTTGAATGTATGCTATTTCAGCGTTCAAAATAAGGCAAAATTCCAACACAACATAAGTATTTAGCATAGCTATGTAAGCTAAAAAATTTAAAAAAAATTGTATTATGTGCTCAGTAGGGATCAATGACTAAAAATAAAAATAAATTAAAAAAACAACAATAATGGCAAATATAATTTATTTATTAGCCTATTATTCCCATTTGGGCCACACACCCACTCGATTTTTAGCTGCAAAATAGTACGGTTTAACAAAAGGTTCATGAAATAATATTCTGCGTGAAGATTTTTCAGTCGGAGGAAAGTTGTTAAACGGTTTAAAAAAATTAGGCTCTTGAATAAATGTAGCTTCCGACTTTGGTCTTACTGGTTGAGTGTCAAAAGGGTTTCGATTATTTTCAAGGATAGGTTTGAGTGTTGGCATGGATTCAGACGACGAAAAAGCAGATTTTGCAGGGGTCTTTGACATGGTAGCTGCTTTGGGGCCGTCCTTTTTATTACCCTCATTTAATGTGTGTTGTTTTGCATCCAATGTAACGCCTTTATCAAGTAAACTATGCGTTTCCGGCAGAGCAGGTGAACCTTCATTTATATCATGTTTCTTCTGGGAACTGTTTTCATTTCGCTCGGTTGCAGCTCCTTGTGACTGGATTATACCTGTAGATGATTTAGATTTTGTGTGCCATAGCAATTTCATTGATTCCATTTGGGAAGAAGATTGTTCTGATAATTTTTTCATTTCCTCCATTGTATAAGGTTTAGCTGAATGTTTTGCTTGTGGCAGCTCCTTTCCTCCATTTGTCACGCTTCTTCCAGACTGTTGAGTTTTAGCTTGATTAATAACAAAATAGTGCATACATAAATATTGTATCTTCACAAAAATTATTCATCAAGTACAAAAGAATTGGCCAATACAATTGTGGTTTGCTGATGACATATTAGGCTTCCTCTTCTCGCATCTACTTTTATCAAAGTCGAAGGAGATTGCTTTTTCATCGACGCATGCGTTTACACTTTCGTCATAAATTTTGTCACCAGAACAACTAACTATTTCCATGTCATAATCCGTAAGCTCCTACTCAACACAGAAAATTAATTAAAAGTACAAGCTTGGTTATCGTTAGTTTTAAAAAGTTATATTTCCTAATTTTAACAGGTACTACATACCCTCCATTGACATTGTTGATAGGAGTAACAATGCCCAGGCAGTGGTTTCTTTCTGCCTATGTGGGCAGCGTCGCAAACCCAATTTTCATCCGGATCTACCGCAGGCATGCTCCATCCTAGAAAATCTTATTTTTAGACTAGAATTTTTCAATTTTTCTTACGCCACTTCACTACCATGTCCTTATCACATTTTTGTCCTGGAACTCTAGCTACCTGGGTCAAGAAGTAAACTTGAGAACAGAATGAGAAAGGTCAGTACAGTGATACTGATTCTTGACTGCTGCACAACCTTCATGTTTAGCAAATAATCCATTGAGCTTTGTGTATGTCTGCGGTACTCAATACTCATCCACGACATCATGGGCACATAAAGGCCATCCGGGATGTATAATTACTTTCAGAACAATAAAACTTGGCACAATAAATTCATCCCTACATGTTGAAAAAATTACGCAACTAAATTATTAACATTCTTGTACATATGTATGTATGCTTGTACTTCTACTTCTGCCTGCACACTAATATAAAAGTCATCATACTTCTTATACATTGAGTGTACATAATTGAGTTATGTATGTGTGTATTGTCATAAGTATGTATTTTCTATGAACGTGATACAAGTTTGCCCATTGTTTTAACTATACAAATTCAAAAACGTATGGATTTCAAAATTAATGAAGCATAATAATGGGTGAAATATGCGTCATAATTGTGGATGTGGATTTATTGATTAATATATATGCATGTAATGTAGCACAACTTATACTGGGGTTACAAGACTTTTCTCTTAATAAAGACTATGCATATATTTTCATAACGTTGTTTAAATTACAAGTAATAAATATTAAATATTAAATAAAATACAAAGTCGTTGGAGTACCGCATGTCTGCTAGTTAACTAAGACACACATTTCGTACAATATAATTAAGTATTAATAATCGTAGTAATCGAAATCAGGTCGTGGGGCAGTCATCATTCGTTGAACCATGTTATACACTGCTCGAACTTGAGAACCTCGTTTTGTACCTTCATTAACAAAATTTGCATTATTCGATATTTTTATTCAACAGCAACGTTCTTTTATACCGTAAAGTTCTCCAGTATATCCAACAAAATCCCAACATCCAAGATACGAATATGGATCTGAGTATTGAATCGCAGCTTGTGGGAAGACGATGATAATGTTATTCGCCGCCGCAATTTCTAGATAGCCGCTACACGTAATATGCCATGGGATGCCTCCAAAAATTCTTTATGAAAGCCAGTTAAGTTTATTTATTTCACAAATTAATAAAAACTACAATTATCTTACTGCATTGTCGAACAATCATGGAAAGCAATGTGAAGAGTGCATAGCTGAGAATCTGGAACATATATAGCTTTGTATATAGAATTTTAAATATGGAAAATATGTGCATAATGTTTGTATAGTGAATAAGTACGTTATATGCACTGAAATACGACAACTCTTAAGTTTGGCAATATCAAATAAGCTAAATATGTTATCATCACCGTGTGCTCTCAATCCCATTTTTTATTAAAATTTTAATTATCGTCGTTATAATTTCGATAAGCCAATCAAAAAATCGGATTGAGAGCACATGGTGATGATCCAGCTTATTAAGACACTAGTTAACAATAAGATACTAGATTAGAAGCTATTATGCATCTTTGTACCATATTTCAGCTTTTAAAGACAACTTTCAAACATCGATGGGGGGGAGCAGTAAATCCAGACACATTTACGACCGTTCGCTATTGTTGGGCGACGGTCGCCGGGTGTGGTCGTCGACGAGGAAGGAGGAGGTAGCGTTTTGAAACCTGGCTTATCACGTAGTGGGGGCAGGACGCTAAATTATTTATAATGCATAAAAATATAACTGCTATTGCATGATTGCATAAACGTGATTTACATTTATTAAACACAAAATGAGTGATTTTTTACGGAGAAGAAAGTGGTGTACGTTTAGGAAGAGCCGAGTTGTTGAGATGGGATTAAATAGAGCTAACAACAACAGGTAAGGAGTCAAAAAGTTAGCAGATTTCTACTTCCATCATATTATTTCCTCACCTAAATATGTATGTGTGTACAACTAATTCACTCACAAGTCAATCACCACATTCCTTTTCTATCTTTGCGTAGTTTTTAAATATGCTTAAATATCTGTAAAATTATGATGTGATCGCACACATTATTAATCGACTTGGAGATTTCCATTCAAAATGTATACTTGCCGATTCGACATGGTACTTTACAACGGCACGTGCATAATTTATTATTTCATGACCCAACAAATAGAGCTAACAACAACTAAGGAGTCAAAAAAGTTTATCATGTTATTTATATCCTCCCTTGAGCAGGGTGAAACGAGATGGAACATGAGATTGCATATTGCGCATAGACTAAGGGATATACCCTTAGTCTATGTATATTGTGTAGAGAGAGAGGGGGATCGACAATCACATGAGATAACATATTGAGCAGAGCGAGAGAGGGGAAATGAAAACTTGTGAACAGTGAAAATTTTCGTTGCCCGAGTGAGTTTTGGAACTGGAGGACTTCAAGTCCCTTTTCTGAGAAGGGTTAGCAGAGAGAGAGTGAAAGAGAGGGGAGAGATGAGCAATGCAAACCAAATTACATATTACACATCTGAGCAGAGCGGATGAAAATTTCCCGAGTGAGTTTTGAAACTTGAGGACTTCAAGTCCCTTCTCAGAGAAGGGTTAGCAGAGAGAGAGGGGAGATTGACTATGCACACGAGATTACATATCGAACAATGAGGAGAAAGAAAGCACATAAATACGGCTGCCCTTGCATGCTAAAATTCAGTATGCACTCGCCTGCTGACCTCTCCACTTCTCTCCTCCTCTTCTCCCCCACAACCCAGACAGTGTCAATTACTTGGCCGTGGAGTCTGTGAAATTGCTGTACTACGAAAAGTGAAACTCCGAAAGTTTGAGTTTACTGGTTCGATTTGTGAAGCACTCCTTCCGTGGGAAGTTATACTCTTACCAAGGTCCGAATCAGGGCAGAAATAATCAGAAAGCTTTGCCCGAGTTGGTATTTGAAATCTGTGATCTGTTCCGCTAAAATCGCGACCAAGAGACTAAAAACAATTCCACGGCAGTTGGCTCTGCTCAATACTTATCCTACCTTAGACTTAACTAAATTCACTTGGGCAGTGACATTCCTCCCACTGAGTTTGTGAACTCGCTAAATTACGAAAAGTGAAACTCCGAAAGTTTGAGTTTACTGGTTCGATTTGTGAAGCACCCCTCCCGTGGGAAGTTATACTCTTACCAAGGTCCGAATCAGGGCAGAAATAATCAGAAAGCTTTGCCCGAGTTGGTATTTGAAATCTGTGATCTGTTCCGCTAAAATCGCGACCAAGAGACTAAAAACAATCCCGCGGCAGTTGGTTCTGCTCAATACTTATCCTACCTAAGACTTAGCTAATTCACTTGGTCAGTTACATTCCCCCACCTCATACGGTATGGACAACTTTGGAGATTTAGGAGAGTGGTACCAAGACTTAGTTGACGATTGGGCTGAGGATGCCTCACGATTCCCAAAATCGACGCGAGAGTATCAAAAATTCATAGAGAAAAATAAGCAAAAGGATAATGATATTCTGATTCAAAATGAATTTCCCTGGTTTCCGCCAACTAAAAGTCAGAGGGCGGTTCTCGTGAAACTGAACAAGTTTCTTCAGCAGCCAGAGTATGAACAGCAGAATACCCCTTTACGGATGTTGGTGGTTGGGGGTAAGTATTCTGCTTGGGTGTTTTTTTTCAGCCCTCATTTTAACATAATCTTAGGCCTCAGCCACATATGCGTTTTTTGCTGCGTGATGCGACATTTTTTGATGTCTGCTGCGCGAAGTTTTTGCTGTCGCATCTTTTGCTGCTCGACTGTTCACATATAATTTTGCAGCAGCATCAATTTTCTGCCGCAACTCATTTTCCTGCTGTGCTTCTCAAAATCTTGCGGGTTCTCCCAGAGAAGCAGCAAAGTCAAAACTTGCGTATCTCTAAGTTAAAATTATCAGCAAATCGATTTTAAAAATTGGTTCGCATGTTTTTTGATTGAATTTTGATAATTTTGATAATTTGTGACAATATATTTGAACAATTTAGTCTTGGCCCCCACCCAAGAGTTTAGAAAAGAAGTTTGCGATTTTCACTCGCGTTCCAAATGGTCTTGCTGATTTTCCGCCATTAGCGTTTGAATTCTTCCAGTTTTTCTGCATTGGAGTTTAGGTTAGAGTATGTTGTTTTGCAAAAGGCCTAAAACCTTTCAATTGATCGCAATTGAGAGGCATTTGAGAGGTTGTCTTTTTAAAGGACAAAATCAATTCCTTGAGCCCGTACGTGCGCGGCACATACTTAGGCGCAATGGGAGCTTGCGAGGTTCGGCCAAAATAAAATTTCATTCAGATTATGCAGTTTCCTTGTCCGGAGCTGTAACCGCTTCAAAAATTCGTTTTTGTTAATTTTTGTATTTATGGTACCTTTTCAAATATAAGGTGGCGAAATGTCGCCAAAATTGTGCGGCCCGAGCAAAACTAGGAATTTCACAAGGAATTTGGTTCTCACTTGATATTTACGTTGATATTTACACCCGAGGGATTAAGGGAGTAGACAAATTTCATTTCCGGAGTCTGCGAGAGATCAACTTCGCCGTAGTTTCGGTCATAAAAATCGATAATTTTTAATGACATTTATCGACACTCTTTTTTATATTTTTTTGTACTCTGCTTTTTTGGTCCTTAACGTTCTTTGGGAGACTTTGTTTATTTTTTTTCGTAACCCTCAGTTTAGGAACTTAAATGCTGTGGAACAAAGATTTTGAAAATAGCAGTACCCGGGCAGCGCTACGAATTTGCGTGGACGAGTTAGTGCTGAAAAGTGTTTCTATGTCCTTTGAGTTTTGATAGGTGGCTATGAAAAGCGGTGGCCTGGAAATTTTTAAAAATTGCACTTTTTGGCATCCTCATACTTCGAAATATAAATGTAGATTGCTGTTTTTGTGATACCTTTCCGCGTGAAAGTACTGCCACGTCATGTTCGAGTCACGTAAAACGACAATTTTGTAGTTGTGAAAAACTCGATTCGCAAGGTTTTCACTTTGACCCCGATTTCTATTGAATTTCGTCGTTTTAATAAAAATTGCTTTAAACCTGCTGGAAGTCCTTGAAATTGCGTTTCAAAAAACTAAGATAGCTAAGCAACAATCTACACGAATTGCACAGTATACTATTCAATCCAGCTAAACCTGGGACATGCTAGGTAGAATACATTGTTGTAGCCTTTCCAGAGGACCGTAATTCAGGATTGGAAAGCAGCGGGACCTCAAATAAGCTGGGAGATGCTACACTCGTCCAAGCCAATGATGAAGATTCTGGTTACTTCACAGATTTTGAACTAAATATTCCGAACATCCTGATGTTATAGAATTTCCCTTAGTAAACCCCAAATGTTCACAAACCGGCCATGTCCCAAGTCATCTTGAACAACTTGGCCTAAGTGACGCTACTCAACAAGCTCTATTCAAATTCTTATCTAGAATCTAGCCAGGAAGCCCGTTCCCACTGATGCCAATCCACCCCTGCTGGACATCATCGATACGTTCTTTCTTGACGACATTGAAGATCTATTCAGCCGCTATTCAGTCGCGAATCAACAGCCAGAGGAGCAACAACACCCGAATATTTCTCCTAACCGTATTCTGATGAATTGGTAGAAATCATAGCCGATTTGGAAAGTACTGTGGCTAACTCCGAAGCTGACGAAGAAAATATTCCGCCTAGGATTAAAACGTGAACTGTAAAGCTCAAATGATGAGTGACGAAGACGTCCAATTCAGTCGCCCTAAAATTTTGTACTATGTTACCCCGGATACTTCTGGAATCACCTACAAAGGCAGACAGTTTGTCTGCACCGTTACCCCGTGTGAAAAAGTATTTTATACGATCAAGCAATGGGAGGAACACATGGAGATTAGTCACAGGTCAGAAAAGCTTCACCACTTTTTCCGTTCTGAAGCCAGAAGGGCTCTATAATTATTTATCCTTCTTTAGGTGTATCTGTGGTCGAACTTTTGTAAATTTAGAAACTAACCATTGCAAGTATCGCCAGTCTGGAGAAGGCAGAAAAAATCTCGTTGAGGCATCCTTAAATGTCGACTCTGGAAAATTTAAGCTAATTCGTGCCGTACATAGCGGAACGGTTTTAGTATATCAAGCCGATTTAAAGAATGTCACCCTAGAGTCGTTCAGTGCGACTTATGAATATATGTACAAAAGTATAGAAACACTTGTACAGAAACTCTTGGAGCAATTGAAGGGAATAAAAATTTCTATAA